TATAGGTGAGATCATATGGTATTTGTCTTTTCTGTCTGACTTATTTCACTTAGCATACTGCCCTCGAGGTCCATCTGTGTTGTCACAAATGGCAGGATTTCCTTTTTTTTTTTTTTTGAAGATTTTATTTATTTATTTGACAGAGAGAGACACAGCGAGAGAGGGAACACAAGCAGGGGGAGTGGGAGAGGGAGAAGCAGGCTTCCTGCGGAGCAGGGGGTCCAATGTGGGGCTCATCCCAGGACCCTGGGATCATGACCTTAGCCGAAGGCAGATGCTTAACCAACTGAGTCACCCAGGTGCCCTGGATTTCCTTATTTTTTTATGGCTGAAGAATACTCCATCATGTACATATAAACTCCATCTTCTTTATCCATTCATCTATGGATGGACACTTACGTTGTTTCCTATCTTGGCTATTGTCAATAATGCTGCAGTGAACACACAGGTGCATATATCTTTTTGACTTAGTGCTTTCATTTCCTTCAGATATATACCAAAAGTGGTATTGCTAGATCATATGGTAGCTCTATTTTTAATTTCTTGAGGAACCTCCATACTGTTTTTCAGAGTGACTGCACTAATTACACTCCCACCAACAGTGCACAAAATTTCTCTTTTTCTCCACGTCCTTGCCAACACTTCTTGTTGCTTATCTTTTCGATGATTCCAGCTTGAGATTTGTCGGACCACCAGGCGATGTGAGTTCATGCTGCACAACGTGGGAGACTTGACTTCTTTAGTCCCTGCTTTGCTCAAGGCAATTTCCCCTGCAATTCATGAGGAGTGAGGAGTGGAGAGATATATCTGGTTAACTCTTGTTCACCTGGTTACCTCTTGTTACCTCTTGTTCACTCAGCAGAGACAGTCCTAGGTTCTGGGGAGCATAATATTTATACAAGCATTGAGATCACTCCTTAGAAAAGAAATACCACATTTGGCGTACGTGTGAATTTTTTTAAACGAGAAAATGAAAAAATGCATCACATCAAATTGCAAAAGGTAAAATGTGCAAAGTCAAAATATGAGACAACTCCCAAGAATTAGAGACTATTTTCATTAGTAGTATGGAATACCTCTCTGGCACACCTGCATAACACATGTTGCCTATGTTTTTTGACTGATACTCTTTTTCAAATTATTTATTTATTTATTTAAGTAATCTCTACACCCAGTGTGGGGCTCAAACTCACAATCCCCAGATCAAAAGTGGCATGCTCTTCTGACTGAGCCAGCCAGACACACGAAGAAATTGTCTTTCAATCCTACAGCTGTTACAAGAATGTCTAAAATGTTTATGATTGTTGTCAAGTTTGGGGAAACCTTATTGAGTTTCTTTCCTAAGAGGGCAGTAGGATTACAGGGTCTTTTCATACATGCTTTGAGCCCCTGCCAGGACTTTTCAAAAAAGGGTCCCTTAGGGCGCCTGGGTGGCTCAATCGGTTAAGCGTCTGTCTGCCTTCAGCTCAGGTCATGATCCCAGGGTCCTGGGATGGAGCCCTGCATCGGGCTCCCTGCTCGGCCGGGAACCTGCTTCTCCCTCTCCCTCTGCCCGCCCTCCCCCCAACTTGTGATCTCTCTCTCTTTCTCTCTTTCTGTGTCAAATAAATAAATAAAATCTTAAAAAAAAAAAAAAGGGTCCCTTGAAGGTGGAGCTTCATTAGTTTCATGGTGGCAGATTTGCTTCTCTGCTGAAGCCAGATTTTTAGGGTCCCTGCCCAATGCGGCACGGGTCCCCCTTAACACGTGCTGTTTTCAGTGGACTTGTGCCATCGCTGTCCCACGAGACCTTCAGATTCATGAAGACAAACTTTTGAGGACATCATTCTCCAAAAACCCCTCATAACAAAGGGGCTTTAACCCTTAGCTTTCCCTCTGCGTTCCACCCTCCCTTGGATTTGGGTCTGGAAATTCCTTTCTTCCTTGCCAGAACTTGCATGGTTTTAAGAAAATTTTAAGTGATCCTTTTCCAGAATGTTCAGGGTTTTTCAGCTCGAGGGTGAGTCACACTGAATCTCCAGGACTAGTCCCTCCTTCTCTTTTTAAAAATTATTTCTTGGGCACCTGCGTGGCTCAGTCGGTTACGCATCTCCCCTCGGCTCAGGTCATGATCCCGGGGTCCTGGGATCCAGTCCCGCATCGGGCTCCTTGCTCAGCGGGGAGCTTGCTTCTCCCTCTGCCTCCTGCTCTCCCTGCTTGAGCTCTCTCTCTCTTTCTCTCTGGCAAATAAATAAATGAAATCTTTAAAAAATGTATTTCTTATTACAAGACAGCAATCTTTTATTGAAACAATTTTTTTGTCTAAAACTATGCACGAAGAGATTAATCTTTTTTTCATATTAACATAAGTCGAACATCACTATTCCAAACCAGTATTATTTACAAAAATGAGCCTTTTCATTGCTTTCTTGCCAGGTTCACGAGAACTAAATCTTAAGCCAACTTCAACATAGCTTTTAGAATTTTCCTGCCATCCAATACCCAGGAACACTTCTAGGGTAGGGGACAGCCTTTTCATAGAGATAGCAACATTCATTGTTCACTGGGACCGTAGAACCACAAGTGAACAACAATAAAATGAAATCATTCCAAACAATTCCCATTTGTCTTTCAAAAGCATGCTTCGTCTAAATCTCCCTTTCTATACAGACTGGGGGAGAGAGACCCCAGAGAGTATAGTTATGTTAATTAAATTCACCGCTTTAAACAGTGAACAAGACGGTTTAGTGTGTATATGGGTGAGCTGCTATGGACACCAGCAGATAATAAAGAAAACTTCAAACCCAGAATAACATGTACCCCGACAACTGGACAGCTCCAATCCATAGTTTTAATCTGGATCACAGTGAAATTGTTTGCTTTCCAGTTAAAGATATTGCGAAAATCTTTCAAAGCAGATTTCTGCTTAGAAATTCAAATGAAAATGTTAAGTAATAAAAAGTGCTGGCTTATTATATAGTTTCTGACAGGCTCCAATATCCTGGGTGCCAGAAGGTAATTCTATCTCAGTTGCTAGTAAAAAGAGGAATCTTGTATACACTAAAAATGTGATATTACAAGATTCTAGTGTCACCTGTCAAAACACGAATATCTAAAAAAAAAAAAGAATATCTAGAATGCAAATTTCAGTAAGCACTTGGGATGAAGGGCAATCAGAATACAAAAGCAGGCAAAATCCACATAAATTAACTCCTACTAATCTGAGAAATCAATATAATGTATATGTAAATTGAAAAACACTGTCTAGCTAGTCATTAGTTTCTAACTAAATTATGACAGGTGGTTTCAGCATATATGTTCTCTTCCTGTGATATTTGTTTGTTCTGTCAAGACTCCAAGAAGCACTGGCCCCTGAAAACAGCTCAGCAAAAGACAACTCTGAGGCAATTGCTTCAAATTTGCCAGATAATAAGTCCCAAGACTGCAGTCATCACTAATAGGACAAGCACCAGAATGTAGATGTTCTTTTTTTTTTTTTTAAAGATTTTATTTATTTGACAGAGAGAGACACAGCGAGAGAGGGAACACAAGCAGGTGGAGTGGGAGAGGGAGAAGCAGGCTTCCTGCGGAGCAGTGAGCCCGATGTGGGGCTCGATCCCAGGACCCCGGGATCATGACCTGAGCCAAAGGCAGCTGCCTAACCGACTGAGCCACCCAGGTGCACCAGAATGTAAATGTTCTTGTGAGATTTTTTTTCTGAGAGTGAATCAGCTTGCTGTAACTGACCAGTGGTTCTGTTTGCATGCAACTTGGAGCTTTCTACATTGGCTTCTCTGCTGTCCTTGGGTCACCTTGGTCGTGGATCATCATGGCCAAATCTTTTTTTTTTAACATTTTATTTATTTGAGAGAGAGAGAGAGAGAGAGAGAGAGAGAGCATGAGCGGGGGGAGAGGCAGAGGGAGAAGTAGGCTCCCCGCTGAGCAGGGAGCCCGATGCAGGACTGGATGCCAGGACCCCGGGATCATGACCCGAGCCGAAGGCAGACGCTTAACCGACTGAGCCACCCAGGCGCCCCTATCATGGCCAAATCTTTAGACATCCAATGGACCTCCAAAATGTCAGCCTGCAGCTGCCAAATTGCCCTTCTTCACTCTTCAGTAAGTTCTGGATCCTGCTCTGTGATGGCCATCTCATCTCCTGGCTCTGCATCTGGTTCCACTCCCTGCTGAGAGAGCAGCAGAGGGGAGCTGCTCTCTCTTTGCCTCTCCTCCACAGAGAGAGGAGATCCATCTCTTGCTCTGGCGATAAGCTCCTTTTCCTTTTCAGACACTCTTCCCTGCACATCCTGGAAATCCTTTACAGCCCCAGAGAAGTCATTCAGGAGGCCATCTTTCTGAAGTTCCAGTTTAGTGATTCATTTGTTTCCTTGGCATTTGTGGAATATTGCAACTGGTGCAGATTTTCCTCTGGTTGCTTGAGTCCCGCTTACTTCCTAGTTGGCTCATCAGATTCTTTATCTGAGCATCAGCTTGGCATATCGGCTGGATGTTGCTGCTATGCGTCCGGATGACTGTTGAAATCCTGGAGCCTGAGGCTCAGAGGGCTCCAGGTTTGGTACATGTCTAAGGGACTGTAGGACATGGTGAGGAGCTAAGACCCACTGGCCCTGCACAGCATTCCCTGAAGCAGCCCCGGGACTGGATGCACAGGCTGATGGGGAACTGGGAAGAGAAAGGGCTGAGGCTGCCTGCACACTCCGTTTCTCTTTTCTAGCTTCTCTGGCCCTCCGCTGACCTCACCCTTGATATAAACGTCATATGGAAGATGATCACGTCCAGATTCACATCTGGACAAGCATCTCAGCCTCCAGGGGGCCTAGTATTCTCACCTGCTGCATCGGATACAGAGGCAAGCCCAGATAATTTCTCAGCGCCCCCCTCCGCATGGCCCATGCTGACTAAGTTCCCCTTCTGTGGTGACCACAGCTCTGTCACACACGGCTTCCTGTTGGGGCTTCCTTGGCCTCAACCTCCATTCGGGCCATTTCCTTCCCTGACAGAGGAACCCGAACCCGGGCTCCTGCCCTGGCCGGTGCAGACATGGTGCCCCTGCTGCTGCTGCCCCTGCTGTGGGGGGGTAAGTGGGCCAACGGAGGGGGGCTGGCTGGGCACAGCTGGGAGTGGGCTGGAGCTGGAGCTGAGCCTCTGTGTCCCCCCAGGGTCCCCGCAGGAGGATCCACGGTTCGAGCTCCGAGTGCCGGAATCGGTGACGGTGCAGGAGGGTCTGTGTGTCCACGTGCCCTGCTCCTTCTCCTACCCCTGGAGCTCGTGGTCTTCCCCTAAGAAGCTCTACATATACTGGTTCCGGAAAGGGGACAACAATTATCTTGTGGCTACAAATGACCAAACGGAAACGGGGAAGATGGGGACCCAGGGCCGATTCTACCTCGTCGGGAACCCCAGGCACAACTGCTCCCTGAGAATCAGAGAGGCCAGGAAGAGTGACGAGGGAGTCTACAATGTCCGAGTGGAGGCAGACCACATTGCATACAGTTACAGAGCTAAGAAGCTGACCGTGAAGGTGGCAGGTCTGGCAGGGGCCCCGGAAGAGGGCTCTGGGACACGGAGACCCCCCTCATAGAACAGGAACAGGACCCTGGAACACTCCTTGCTCCAGGTCTTGGGGCTGGGATGGTGGGAAGACGGATGGGGGCCCGGAGTCAGCTTGTGCCCTGAGGCCCTGGTCCCTCCCAGGGTCACACTCTGGGTCCCCACCTGCCTGGGGCCCAAGCACCTCCCTCTCTCCTCCTCAGCCCTGACACAGAAACCCGACATCCACTTTCCGGAGCCCCTGAAGTCTGGCTATCCCACAAACCTGACCTGCAGTATGCTGGGATCCTGCGAGGAGGGAAGACCTCTCACCTTCTCCTGGGTGGGGCGGGCTCTTGACTCTCTGGACCCCCAGACCCTCCACTCCTCAGTGCTGACCCTCACCCCGAGGCTGCAGGACCATGGCAGCAACCTCACCTGTCAGGTGCACCTGCCAGGAGGTCAGGACACCGTGGAAAGAACCATCAGGCTCAATGTCTCCTGTGAGTGCTGGAGGGATGGCTGGGTCCCTCAGGGCCGTGGGGATCGCGTGCGCGCATGCGCGCCTTGGGAGTGTAGGTGCGGAGTGGACAAGTACAGCAATCCCCACCTTCCCGGTCCCCCTACCCCTCCTTGGGTGCTGGGTCAACTTCCATCCCAATCTTCACGTCTGAAGTAGGGCCATATCTTTCCATCCCAGACGCTCCCCAGAAACTCAACATCAGCATCTTCTTCAGCGATGTTGCAGGTAGGAAAGAACCTGTCTTCTTGGGGGCTGGGACCTGGCCCTGAGGTGGGGGTAGCGGGTCAGCTCCCAGCAAAGCGGTGGGGATCATAGCCTTACTGGGATCAGATATGGGAAAAGCAAGGATAAAAATCACCACTCTCCCTCCTCCACCTCCCATGGGTGCACGCACCTGCACCCCCACACGCTCACACACACGCACAAACTGTTCAAAGCCCATTTCACCTCACCAGTTCACTCCTCTGGTTTCCCACCTACCGCTCCATCCCAGCCTCCTCCATCCTATTTCCTGCTGTGTTCACTGAGCGAAGCCACCAAACAGTCCAGGCATGTCCCAGTGGGACACTGAGCCTCCTCTGAAGATACGAGGCCCAGACACTTGAGGTCAACCTCCTTTGGGTGTAAAGCCCAGGCTTTCAACCCTCATGGAACCAAATCAGTGGGTCAAGAAAGGAGAAGGAGATGCCAACCAGCTCCTTGGAAGGAGGGAGGGATGGAGACTGCCAGCCTCCCACAGCTGGTGCCCTCTCTCTGCATCTCTCTCCCCAAGTCCCGAAGATTCTGGAAAACACCTCATCGGTTCTCATCCTGGAGGGCCAGGCTCTGGGGCTGCTCTGTGCTGCTGACAGCAGCCCCCCTGCAGAGCTGAGCTGGTTCCGGGGATCTCCCGCCCGGAATGCCACCCCCATCTACAGGAGTGCAAACCTGGACCTGCCTCAAGTAGGGGCTGCAGAGGAAGGAGACCTCCTCACCTGCCAAGCTCAGAACCCGCTGGGCTCCCAGCACGTCTCCCTGCGTCTCTCTGTGGTCTGTGAGTGTGGGGACCCCTGGGGGCTGACTGCCCGGGGCCTGGGGAGGAGAGACACCGCTGACCCCTCCCCTCCCTCCCGCAGATCCCCCGCGGCTGCTCAGCCCCTCCTGCTCCTGGGAGGGCGAGGGGCTGCACTGCAGCTGTTCCTCCCGAGCCCAGCCGGCCCCCACCCTGCGCTGGCGGCTGGGGGAGGGGCTGCTGGAGGGGAACCACAGCAACGCCTCCTGGACCATCACCTCCAGCTCTGCGGGGCCCTGGGCCAACAGCTCCCTGAGCCTCAGCGGGCCGCTGGGCTCCGGCCTCAGACTCAGCTGCGAGGCCCGGAACGCCCACGGGTCCCAGAGCGCCGCCTTCCTGCTGCTGCCAGGTCCGGGGGCTGTCGGGGGCCGAGGTGTAGGGGAAGGGAGTCCTAGAGAAGCCTGGGGCTGGGGCTGGGGCTGGGGCTGGGGCCTGCACAGAGGGCGATTGGTGGGTTAGGGTGCTGCTCCATCTCTGGCGTAAGCTGGCCCTTCAGCAAGTTCTGCGAGGAGGTAGGGAAAGCAAGAGCCTGAGTCCCGAAAGTGAGTCTCGACACACCTCTTCTCTGCAGGGAGATCAGTGTTCCTGGCAGGAGCCGTGCCTGCTGCTCTTGGAGGTGCTGGTGCTATGGCCCTGCTGTCCCTAAGTCTGTGCCTCCTCTTCTTCTGCTTGTAAGTCTTTGTTTGGGGAGGTACAGGGAGCGCGGAGAGAGGTCACTCAATCCCAGAAATGCAGAGCGGAGTAGAGTAGATCCAGAGGGCATCTCTTTTGGGTGGTGGGGGGATAACAGCTTTATTGAGATATACTTCCCATACATTCACAGTGTACAATTCAATGGCTTTTAGTGTATTCCGAGTTGTGCATCCATTACCACAATTATAGGACTTTTTCATCACCCCCAAATGAAAGAGAAACAAAGCAAAGAAACCCTCCACTCCTTAATTTCCATCCTGCCCCCATTCTCCGCCAGCCCTAGGCAGCCGCCAATCTGTTTTCTGTCTCTACATTTGCCTATTCCGAACATTTTGTGTAAGTGGAATCATACAACATGCGGTCCTTTGTGACTGACCTCATTCACTTAGCATGATGTTTTCAAGGTTCATGCATGTTGTGGCATGAGTCAGTCCTTGATCTTTTTTTTTTTTAAGATTTTTATTTATTTATTTGAGAGAGAGTGAGCACAAGAGGGGAGGAGAGGCAGAGGCAGAGGGAGCAGCAGTTTCCCTGCTGAGCAGGGAGCCCAAGCAGGGCTTGATCCCAGGACCCCGGGATCATGACCTGAGCTGAAGGCAGATGCTTAACTGACTGAGCCACACAGGCGCCCAATACTGCATCCTTTTTTTTACTTCCATATACCGTTCCATTGCATGGGTGGAGCACATTTTGTTTGTCATTCATCTACTGATAGACATTTGGGCTGTTCCTACTTTTTGGCTATCACGAGTAACACTGCTATGACCACTCAGGCACAAGTTTTTAATGTGTTAGGGGGATCTTTAGTGATGGAAGTTTGGTCTGGCCAAACCTCTGCTCATCCAGGGGGATGGAGTGCTTACTTGCAGGTCAGGAAAGTGTGGGGCTACTTCTGGGGTCTGGATGCCCTTTCACCAGAGAACAGGCAGCCTGCCCATGGGTGCCTGGGCCATCCTGGCTGCAGTGTGCTGGTTTCTCCCCTTAGAGTGAAAGCCCGCAGGAAGCAAGCATCCGGGAGTCGAGAGGGCCTGGATGATGAAGATCCTGTCATGGGTACAGTTGCCTGGGTGAGTGATGCTGGCGTCCTTTCATGCAGTTGGGGAGCCCCGGGCTTGTCCTTTCAGAGTCCAGATGGAGCTCCTAGCATTTCCCCATCCCCTGCTCCACCCTGGTCACCTGGGTGGACACCTGGGAGTTGATGTCCCTTCTGTTCTTCACCTTCATCTCCCAGACCCAGTGGCCCTCTGGTCACCTCTTGTCCCACCCCTGCTGATCACTCACTGGAGTGATCACTGGACACAGCCTGACAGAACCTCTCCCAAAATCTATTGCTTTCCAGCCATTCGGGAGTTTCAATTATGTTGTTTGCTCCCGTTGTTTAGAGAATCGAGTCACATTTCTTGGTCTGATATTTAAAGTACTTCTAGAAGTCTCCCCTGATGGCCACTCCAGCCCTGGTCTGGCTATGGTCCAGCCACACTGGCCTTCTCATGGTCTCCATACACACCTGCTCCCCTACGACTTGGGGCCTTTGCATGTACAGTTCCTCCCACCTGGAATGCTCTCCTGTCCCGATTTTCACCAGACCACCTTGTGTGATCATTTTTCTAGCTCCAGTACCAACATCTTCTGCTCTGGGAAACCCTTGCCATCTCCCTCCCTGCCAGTGTCCATGCCTCTCTCCCCTATGTCCCCAGAGCTCTGTGTCCATCCCTGTCTTGAGGGGCACCTCACACAACATCACCACCTTTGCCTTATCTCCGCCCTCTCATATTGATGATGTCTTTGAGGGCAGGGGGCTGCAATAGTCTCTCACTCTATCCGTATGCAACATGTCCCCTATCCCCTATAAAACTACATCCATGTTACCCTAAATGGTGTTATCCAAAATGCTTTATTCGTGACCAACCTCTTATCGCAGGAACAAGCATTGTTCATTAGTACTTACTCATTTTGTTCACAATATGATAAGCAACTGTGAGCCTACCATCCAACCAGAGACCTCAAACACTGACCCTAACTTCCATCTGCTCAGGTTGCTCTGTGACCCATCCCCAGTAACCATTGCTCTGAATCTTTTGTTGCTAGCGTTATCCCATATACGTATGCCTGAAATAGATGCTGATTAGTTTAATTACTTCTGAACCTACAAAGGTTGGCCACATTCTGTTCACTCTTCTTGGACTTGCTTTTGTAGACCCAACACTGTAAGTTATGTCGTGGAGATTCATCTGTGTTGCATGAAGTTGCAGTTGTCTGTTTCATTTTATGATTTTGTCTATTGCCTAAGCTCCTGTTGCTGGACATTTGAGTTGTTCCAGATGTTCTTGTTCATATCTCATTGCATTCACATGCAAGAGTTTTTCTTCAGCATTATGTAAGAATTTAATTACTAGGTCAGAAGGTGTGTGAATATCCCAATTTACAAGGTTTTCCAGAGCAAATGCATCAATTTATACATCCATCTCTGCCTATCGGATCCTGTTGATCTATAATCTCTGCAGCACTTGGTTTTCTGAAATTTTTTTGTCATCTCACCATTTCACTGTGGTATTGATGTGCATTTCATTGGTTGCCAGTGAGGATGAAAATCTCTCTGTCTTCACTGGCATATGAACACCTCCTCTCTAAAATGCCCGGTCCCATCTGCAGCCCAATGCCCTATTGGGTGTTTGACTTTCTTATTGAATTTACTGGCGAGCTTTATACATTTTCATACTTTTTTTTCCAGTTATATGCATTGTAAATATCTTCTCCCAGTGATTAACTTGTCTTCACTTTTTAAAGGTGACCTTGATGAACGTTAGTTCTTAATTCTAATATAACCATATTCACCAATCTCCTCTTCTCTGTTGAGTGAATTTTGGGTCTCATTTAAGAAAACCTTTCTTATCCTAAGATTAGAAGGATATTCAAATATAATTTCTTTTTTTTTAAGATTTTATTTATTTGAAAGGAAGAGAGTGAGAGAGAGCACAAGCAGTGGGAGTGGCAGGCAGAAGGAAAGGGAGAAGCAGACTCCCTGCTGACTGGGGAGCCTGACGTGGGGCTCGATCCCAGGACCCTGAGATCATGACCTGAGCTGAAGGCAGACACTTAAACCACTGAGCCACCCAGGTGCCCCTTTTCTTCTTCTTCTTTTTTTTTTTAATAGATTCCATGCCTAATATGGAGCTTGAAATCACAACCCCGAGATCAAGAGTCACACATGCTACTGACTGAGCCATCTAGGTGCCCCCATCATACATCAAAATGTATTCTATTCCAGTGGTCAATTTAACTGTCCCTGAGTCAGAACTGTCTCTAGAGGCAAGGCAGTAATTCGAGACCAAGTCCTGATATCTGATAGAGCAGGAGCACCTCCTTAATTTTCTTTAATAGTGTCTTGGCTATTCTTGGCCTTTTGCTGTTCTATATAAACATTAGAAACAGTTTGTCAAGTTCCAAAAAACACTCCTGTTGGTTTTTTACTGGAATTACATTGAATCTGTGAATCAACTTGGGAAGAATTTACTTATTTATAAATTCAAGTCTTCTTGTCCACAAGAACAGGTATCTATTAGTTAAAGTTTTTCCAAGAAAGATGTAGTATTCCTTCAGACAGGTCTTGCAAACCTTTTGTTCTTTTACTTCCTTAATAACTAGTTTTGTTACTATTATAAATGCTATCTTTTTATTTATTATTTTTAAAGATTTTATTTATTTGTCAGAGAGAGAGAGAGCGCAAACAAGGAGAGCTACAGGCAGAGGAGCCCGACATGGGGCTCTATCCCAGGACCCTAGGATCATGACCTGAGACAAAGGCAGATGCTTAACCAACTGAGCCACCCAGGCATTCCTTAAATGCTATCTTTTTAAAGGTGCATTTTCTGATCACTCTTCAATGATATGCAGGATGAAAACATTTGTTAAAAATTTATGAAGAGTTGGGGTGCCTGGGTGGCTCAGTTGGTTGAGCGGCCGGCTCTTGATTTTGGATCAGGTCATGATCTCAGGGTGGTGAGATTGAGCCCTGCACCAGGCTCTGTGCTCAGTGTGAGTCTGCTCATAACTCTGTCTCTCTCTCCTCTTACCCCCCTGCCCCTACTCGAGCACACGTGCACACACTCACTCTCTCTCAAATAAATAAATAAATCTTTAAAAAAATTATGAAAAAAAATTATGAAAGGTTGGGACACCTGGCTGGCTCAGTGGGAGGAGCATGCAACTTTTGATCTCAGGGTCATGGGTTTAAGCCCCATGCCAGGTGTAGAGATTACTACTACTACTAATAATAATAATGAACTTTAAAAAATTTATAAAGTGTTTTAGAATTTAAAAAAATTACAGATTGGTCTTAGGTGTCATTTAGATTCCTATTGGTTTGGTAGCTGGAGCATTCTTAGATCTACTCATAAGCCTGCTGCACCATGCTTTTACAGAGAGATACCGTCTGAAAAATTTGTGATATTTTTGTTTTTAACTGTCATGTCTAGCTGAACAAAGCAGCTGAATTTGATGCAAATAAAACATCATTTCGTTCAAGAATCAACTCATCCTTTTAGACTTCAGATACTGCACAAGAAATCCGGCCTCATGCATCCTTTGCAGATGTATTTTTCTTCTAAGAGATTTCGTATTTCAATAAACAACTCACTCCCCTGAATCAGTGATGGGGAAATGAGCACATTCAGACTCCATTCTTTAGTTACAGAGGTCTGTGTCACACAGAGTGTTGGTAGTAGGTGGCACAAGATTGAACAGCAGCCAGTTCCTTAATTTGTCCATGCAGCTTCTCCTTCTCCTGTCTACTTTGGTGGGACTGAACACCCCTGCAGAGTTCTTCTGGGGCTCCACTATAAATGTTCATCTCTTCACAGTGACACCCAGCTCTTTGGGGTGCTGATCTGGATGCTGAGGATTGTCTTCATTCTCTCAGTAGATGCAACAATGTGTGAAAAGCAATTACATACTTATTGATCTTATATTCTTCCAGCTTGCTAAGCTCTCGTGTTAGTTATTTTTTAATATTTTATTTTTAAGTAATCTCTACACCCAATGTGGGGCTCAAACTTACCCTGAAGTCAAGAGTCGCATGCTCCACTGACTGAGCCAGCCCGGCGCCCGTAAGCTCCCTTGTTAGCTCTAATAATTTGTACACAGACATTGAAGTATTTTAACAGTTTTTTTTTCATTTTTTAAAAATTAACATATAATGTATTATTGGTTTCATAGGTACAGGTCAGTGTTCCATCAGTCTTATATAATACCCAGTGCTCATTACATCACGTGCCCTCTTTAATGTCCATCAGCCAGCTACCCCATCCCCATCCATCTCCCCTCCAGCAACCCTCAGTTTGTTTCCTATGATTAAGAGTCTCTTATGGTTTGTCTCCCTCTCTGATTTCTTCTTGTTTTATTTTTTCCTCTCTTCCCCTATGAGTCTCTGTTTTGTTTCTTAAATTCCACATATCAGCAAGATCATATGATAATTCTTGTTCTCTGATTGACTTATATCACTTAGCATAACACCCTCTAGTTCCAGGGCGCCTGGGTGGCTCAGTTGGTTAGGCGACTGCCTTTGGCTCAGGTCATGATTCTGGAGTCCCGGGATTGAGTCCTTCATTGAGCTCCCTACTCAGTGGGGAGTCTGCTTCTCCCTCTGACCCTCCCCCCTCTCAGGCTCTCTCTCTCAAATAAAATAAATAAAATCTTTAAAAAAAAAAAACACCCTCTAGTTCCATCCACGTTGTTGCAAATAGCAAGATTTCACTTTTTGATGGCTGAATAATATTCCATTGTATATAGATACCACATCTTTATCCATTCATCTGTCGATGGATATCTGGGCTCTTTCCATAGTTTGGCTACTGTGGACATTGCTGCTATAAACACTGGGGTGCACATGACCCTTCGGATCACTACATTTGTATCTTTGGGGTAAATACCCAGTAGTGCAATTGCTGGGTCACAGGGTAGCTCTATTTTCAACTTTTTGAGGAACCTCCATACTGTTTTCCGGAGTGGCTGTACCAGCTTGCATTCCCACCAACAGTGTAGGAGGGTTCCCCTTTCTTTGCATCCTCACCAACATCTGTCATTTCCTGAGTGGTTAATTTTAGCCATTCTGACTGGTGTGAGGTGGTATCTCATTGTGGTTTTGCTTTGTATTTCCCTGATGCCGAGTGATGTGGAGCATTTTTTCATGTGTCTGTTGGCCATTTTAACAGTTTTTTTTTTGTTTGTTTGTTTGTTTAAAAAATATCACAGGGGCGCCTTCTGGCTCCGTCAGAAGAGCATGTGACTCTTGATCTCAGGGTTGTGAGTTTGATCCCCACATTGGGTGTGGAGCCCATTTAAAAAAAAATTTTTTTTAAAGTATCCCTAGTTTGGGGCACCTGGCTGGCTCAGTTGGTGGAGCATGCTACTCTTGATCTCCAGGTTGTGAGTCCATATATTTTAGAAATGCTATATCCTCTCGTGAATTGAACATTTGATCACACATAGTGATCCTCTCTATTGCTATTGATACTTTTTGTTTTAAAGTCTATTTGGTTGGATCTTAATATAGATACACCAATTTGTCATTGGCTAGTAAGATGTCTGATATTTTTACATCCTCTGTTCCTCCAACAACATTTTATTTATACTTCAGGAGTGATTTTTGTAAACAGCATATAACCAGGTTTTTTTTTTAAGAATTTTTTATTTTTTATTTTTTAAGCAGGCTCCACACCCAACATGGGGCTTGAACTCACAACCCTGGCACTAAGAGTCTCCTGACTGAGTGGGCCAGGTTTTTACAAATCCAATTTGACATCCTCTATTTGTGTTTTCTGTGGTTGTTAATACATGCGGATTTTGTTCTCCTATTTTAACTTTTCCTTTCACTTGGTTCCATTTTTTTCAGTATTTCATTTTCTCCTTTCTTAAAAAATTAATATCTCTTACACCCAACAAAAAAACTTCAGTGTACTTTTATGTATCTCTTGTTCTTCTTTCCCTCCACTTTCCACAACGTTGGTTTTTTTTCTAGATCTTCATTTCTCATTCTGGGTTATTATGAACATACTTAACGTTTTTCTATTTGGTCTTTTGTTTAATACACAGCCACACATTTTACTGAGGTATTTTGTCACCTTTATACCCCAGATTTATTGCAGCACTTTCAGGTTTTGTTACTTTTATTTGAATTCTTCCTCCCAGTGTGTTTTCAATTTGGATTTTCTTGTATTAAGACTTCTGAGGACTTGTGTGTTTGAAATTCTTTTTTAATGTTCCTACATTTGAATTTCACTTGGCAGGATATAAATTCTAGGATCGGGCACCTGCCTGGGTGGCTCAGTTGTTAAGCATCTGCCTTCGGCTCAGGTCATGATCCCAGGGTCCTGGGATCGAGTCCCACATCGGGCTCCCTGGTCAGTGGGGAGTCCAGTTCTCCCTCTCCCTCTGCCCCTGCTTGTGTCCCCTCTCTCGCTGTGTCTTTCTCTGTCAAATAAATAAATAAAACCTTTAAAAAAATTCTAGGATCAAAGTGATTTTCCTTCAATGCTTTATTTTATCATTTTATCTTATTTTTCTTTTAAGTAATCTTTACACCCAACTTTGGGACTCAAACTTGCAGCCCCAAGATTAAGAGTCACATGCTCTACCCGCTGAGCCAGCCAGGCACCCCCTTCCTTCAATGCTTTAAACACTATTGTTTCTTGTATCCAGTGTTGCTGTTAAGAAATATTATGTCTGGGGGCACCTTGGTGCCTCAGGTGATTAAGTGTCTGACTCTTGATTTCGGCTCAGGTCATGATCCCAGGATCATCAGATTGTGAGATCGAGCCCCACGTCGGGCTCTGTGCTCACCGGGGAGTCTGCTTGAGATTCTCTCTCTCCCTCTCCCTCTGCCCCTCCCCCTACTTGAGCGTGCCGGCTCCCTCTCTCGCCAAAAAAAAAAAAAAAGAAAAAAAAATTATTCCTGTATGAATCTTGCACATTTGTAAGTGATCCAGTCATTGTCCCTGGAGACTTTTACATTTTTCTCTTTCGTTTTGATATTTTTAAGATTTACTATTGCTGTATTGGGGTATGTGGTTTCCCTTGTCTTTTTTCTTGCGTTTGTGGGGCCCTTTTCAGCTGAGGTGGTTTATCTTTCTTCAATTCTGGGAATTTTATCTTTATTTTTGTTCAAGTATTTCCGCCTCTTTTTATTTCCAGTAACACAGCAGGCCTGAGTTTTGTTCCTGGCTCTGCTGGTGAGTAGAGGAGTGACTTGGGCAAGTTACATCACTTTCCCCCACCTCAGTCTCCCTAATCTGTAAAATGGGGAGAAAAAGTATCATTCACACTGTTTTTTTGTGAGGATTAAACGTGACTAGTAAACCTTCAATATGTCCAAACAGTCAGAGCATTACAGAATTTTATTTTATTATTATTATTATTTTTGCATTACAGAATTTTATTTTTATTTTTTTAAAGATTTATTTATTTATTTGAGAGAGAGAGACCACGAGTGGGGTGAGGGGCAGAGGGAGAAGCAGGATCTTCCCTGAGCAAGAAGCCTGATGTGGGACTCAATCTGGGGACCCTGGAATCATGACTTGAGCCGAAGGCAGGTGCTTAACCGACCGAGCCACCCAGGCATCCCAACATTACAGAATTTTAAATGGATGCGTGAATAATTGAATTCGTAGTAAGTATGTATGAATAGGAAGATGAATGAATAAATGCCCCATTAGCCCAACTTCCCTTGGGGACCACACCTGCCTTATTCCTTCTCTGACTCCCTTGTTTCTTCTTTATTCAGGGTTCCAGGCAAAAGCCCTGGCCAGACAGCCCCCGAGCCCAAGCGACCCCTGCCAGGGATGCCTCTCCCTCAGGGGACAAACAGGAGCTCCATTATGCCTCCTTCAGCTTTCACGGGATGAAGTCGAGGGAACCTGAGGATGAGGAAGCCACCGACACCGGCGAGTACTCAGAGATCAAGACAAGCAAATGAGGATGGCTTAGAGCTCGGTGCCGGCCCGAGGAATCGCGGCCCCTGGGGGAGAGGAGAAGTCAGGCACTAATTGGTGAAGCATGTGGAGCCCTGTGGCAATACGAACAGGAAGGACTTGCCGAGTGTCCCCAGGTGGAGCGGACTTGGGCTCCAACGCAGGCTGTCAAGCAAGTCACTTCATCCCTCTGTGCCTCAGCTTCCCGTTCTGTAATCAGAGATCATGCATCCGGTCTCAGAGGTGGCTGTGGACATTAAAGAAATTAACATGCAGAAATCAACCAACAAATGTCCCGTCTCACGTGTGCTCAGTACCTACTGCTCTCTCTTCTTTGGACAGAAAGGTAACTGGCAAGTTACCCGGAGGCTGGGGGTGACCAGTCCCAGAGCACAGGGTAGCAACCTGCTGGCATCATTCTCCTTCCCAGAGCTCTTCAAAGCCTCCCCAGGGAAAGACCAGCCCCTCAGCCTGGCGTTTGCTTCATGATACAGCATCTTATCATCTCTTTGGAGTCTCCTCCTCATCCCACTTGTACCTGTCAGTTCTTCCAGCACATTCCTTAACCTCCTGACTGTCAGTCCCTTTCCTGTCTTGTGGATGGGCCCCACAGGGATCTGTCCAACAGCCAGAGAGCTGACCCCAGGTCTCTTGCACAAACCCCTTCAAGGCTCCCTAGCCTTAGACAATACATCACAAGCATCGGCTGCCCCTGGCTTTTAAAGTCCATTACGACCCCCTTGTAGCTACTGTTGGAAAAGAAACAACGGGCCCAAAATGGAGGCACTTGCCCCCACAACAGCAAACCAAGACTAAAGGCAGTTTCAACCTCTCCCAGAAATGTGACCTTTATTTTTAATTTATTGACAGAGAGAGACACAGTGAGAGAGGGAACACAAGCAGGGGGACGTGGGAGAGAGAGAAGCAGGCTTCCCAAGGAGCAGGGAGCCTGGCGTGGGGATCGATCCCAGGACCCTGGGATCATGACCTGAGCCGAAGGTAGACGCTTAACCTACCGAGCCACCCAGGCGCCACAGAGGATCTGAAATATCCTGATCAGCACTGGTGAGGTCACCTGCAGGGTAAGATCTTCCCTGGAAAAGATGGCCCAATCTGAAAAAAATCTTTTCTTTTGATAATAACTCCCTTGCCCCACCCTCCTGCCTATAAAAACTTCCCACTACATGCAACCTGTGTCTTTACCGGAAGTCAGGAGTCATTGAATAAAGCCTCAGATTTATTCAGTGGAATTTTTGGTCTTTAGCACCACCCAACTGCACTTCCCTCCGCTTTCTTCTTTACAACCTCTGTGTTCTAACCCACAGCTGTGCGATTTGAGATCCCTCCCTTGGAGGCTCTGCCTCATTGCTTCACCTGGCAGACACTGGCTGGGCCTTCACACCTGAAGTCCTTGCACACACCCCGGCTGAGAGCCTGGACGGAAGAAAGAGCTCATCCTCTCCCCTCCTCTAAAGTTGGACTAATTTATAATTTATTTATTTCCTTATTTTTTTCAAGAAAGCACTAAAACGAAAACAGCCCAAACTTCCCTAGCAGCACTGCAGTACCAGTGCCCAGTGAGCTTTTCTGATTGTAAGCGCCTGACATTAGGCTTTAATTGAGGTACAAAATGGAAATTTTTCTAGAAGGAGGTGGGGCAAGAAAGGTATTAGCAAGAGAAAAGGATCAGTCCAGGCGAGGCTGCTTTCCCTTCTGTGGGGAGGTGAAGGTAAGGGGTCTTTTTCTGCAGATGACCTCATCTTCCTTTGGGGGATGGAGGGGCCCTTGTGGCAGACTCATTGGCACTGATCAATAAATTCCTGACTGACCGGTTAGGACTACATTTCTGGTGGAATGACAGAGGATGCCAACCACCTACACTTTGACCTCAGTCTGTACTTTTTTTTTTTTTTTTTAAGTAGGCTCCATGCCCCAGCATGGAGCCCAACATGGGGCATGAACTCACTGCCCCGAGATCAAAACCTGAGCTGAGATCAAGAACTGGACCCTTCATCACTGAGCCACCCAGGCGTCCCCTCAGTCTGTACTTTCTAATTGATTAAGATCTTCATTCCAGCTTATCTCTTAACTCAGGCAAAAGACCTTGGAGGGTGGGGGGGATCATCCCGTGATGGAAAGTGAAACTATCCCCTTAAGCAATAAAAACTGCCCTGAGCCAGGGAGACCCAGCATGACTGACCGCAAGACAGTGATCGACTTGACCCTTACTGCCTAGCAGCACGTTCCCAGTGCCCTTCCTCCAACATTTTCTTTTCTTTCTTTTTTTAGAGAAAGAGCAGAAGTGTGTGTGCAGGGTGGGGGTGGGGAGAGAGGGGCAGAGAAAGACAATCTCAAGCAGACGCGGAGCCCGATGCAGTGTTCGATCTGACGACCCTGAGATGGTGACCTGAGCCGAAATCAAGAGTCAGACCCTTAACTGAGCCACCCAGGCGCCCCCACATTTTCCTACTATAAACCTAGGAAGATTTTTCAGCTCTCTGAAGACAGTCTTTGCGACGTTAGTCCGCGGTTGTCCCGGACTTGGCCTTCCTGGAGTAAATTCCTGTCTTGTTTCACCACCGCTTGTGTCTCTGCCTTTGGAGTGGCTGAACCCGGTCTGTTTGGGACTCCTGGAACCAGCTGCTCCTGAACCCCTGAGCCCTGGTTATAGGAGAGTGAAACTGCAGTTAGATTATGCATTAAGTCCCGGTTTGGGGATTTGGCCTAAATGATGCTATTTTGTGCCTGTGGGTTTTTTTTTTTTAATTCCAGTATAGTTAACATACAATGTTTATTAATTTCAGCTGTACAGTATAGTGATTCAACAATTCTCTACTCTGTGCTCATCATGGTAAGTGTACTCTTAATCACCTTCACTCCCTAGTTAAGAGTCTGTTTTTTGGTTTGTCTCTTTTTTTCTTTGTTAATTTGTCTTGTTTCTCAAATTTCACATATGAGTGAAATCATGTGGCATTTGTCTTTCTCTGACTTAATTTCACTTAGCATTACACCCTCTAGCTCCATCCATGTTGTTGCAAATGGCAAGATTTCATTCTTGTTTATGGCTAATATTCCAATGTATACATATACCACATCTTCTTTATCTATTCATATACCAATGGACACTTGGGCTGCTTCCATAATTTGGTTATTGTGAATAATGGTGTAAATGTAGGGGTGCATATATCTTGGAATTAGTGTTTTTGTATTCTTTGGGTAAATACTCAGTAGTGCAATTACTGGATACTAGGGTAGTTCTATTTTTAACTTTTTGAGGACCTCCATACTGTTCTGCACAGTGGCTGTACGAGTTTGCATTCCCCCACCTACAGTGCATGAGGGTTCCTTTTTCTCCACAGCCTCTCCAACGCTTGTTTCTTGTTTTTGGTTTTGGTTTTGTTTTAGTTTATTTTGTTTTAGGGGTGCCTGGATGTCTCAGTCGATGAAGCATCTGCCTGTGGCTCAGGTTGTGATCCTGGGGTCCTGGGATCAAGCCCCACGTCGGGCTCCCTGCTCATCGGGGAGCCTGCTTCTCCCTCTCCTCCCGCTCGTGCTCTCTCTCACTATCTCTCAAATAAATAAAATCTTTGGGGGAAAAAGTTTATTTTGTTTTAGTCATCTCTACACCCAATACGGGGTTCGAACTCAGGACCCCGGGAATCAAAAGTAGCATGCTCTTCTGACTGAGCCAGGCAGGAGCCCTCTTGTGTTTTTTATTTTAGCCATTCTGACAGGTAGAGGGTGATACGAGGGTTCTTTTTTTTTTTTTTAAAGATTTTATTTTTATGTAATCTCTACACCCAGGGTAGAGCTCGAACTCACAGCCCTGAGGTCAAGAACTGCATACTTCTCTGACAGAACCAGCCAGGTGTCCCGGAGTTTTGTTTTGTTTTTTGTTTTTTTTTAAACAAATTTCTGCACATTCTGTCCCCTTATGCTCAGCTTCTTCCCCAGTTCCCTGCTTCTCCATAGCTGGCCTCACATTCTCAAAAACTACCCTCTGTGTAGGTCACACTGAGATCTTAATTCTTGGTGGTGGCCTGACAAGCTTGGTAGCTTCCCTAAGATAGAAGTTCACTGGGGAACTTCCTCTTCTAGGGACATTCTGGTGGCAAATGCTAAGTGAAATCCACTCTGTCACTACTAGTGAGTATGTTACATGTCCATTAGCAGCAGAGTCTCCTGAACTGGTTGGAAGATGGCATAGGGGCTGGTCCTTGGAGACATGATCGTGATCCCTTTAGACTCTCCCTATGGAGGTCTCTCCTGCTGTCTGCAACCACCATCAGTCCTGGACTATTGTCTGATGGTTCTCTATCCCTTATAAATAAAACACCTCCGTAGTGTGCATCATCAGCTTTTCTGAGACCAGAGCGCAGTGGATTCAGGAATCATTCTCTATGGCATCAAGCATGTGTGGGTCACAATCCCAGCTTCCAAATGTGCATCAACGATGTGAGACCCTGTGAAGGTTGCATACCACGGGTCTCAGTTTCCCACTCTGCCAAATGAAGAGAATTGTTAGCCAGTCCTCTCTAGGGGTGGTTGTGAGGGTTCATTGGGGCAAGGTGTTATAATAAAGGCACAGTCCTGAGTCTGGCACAGGAGGCGCTCCAGTGAACATCCACCTCTTTCCTATCCTCCACTCAAGGGGAGATCCGGGCACAGACTTGCTGCCTAAAGAGTGGTCTAGGGCGCCTGGATGGCTCAGTCGGTTAAGCATCCGCCTTTGGCTCAGGTCATGATCTTGGGGTCCTGGGATTGAGTCCTGCATCGGGCTCCCTGCTCAGTCGGGAGTCTGTTTCTCCTCCTGCCTGCCGCTCCCTGTCTTGTGTGTGCGCTCTCTCTAATATAAATAAAATCTTAAAAAAAAATAAAGTGTGGGCCAAGGACCAGCAGCATGAGAATAATCAAACCTTAGAGAAGACCTTGTTCCTGTCCCTTCGCCAGGCTGGGTCCACAAGGTCAAAAGAATGTTAAGGCAACAAAAGGGCTGAGTGGAAAACACAGAGATGAGCCCAGCCCACCCCTTTTTCTGGATCCTCCTTCCCAGGAGGGACCCAGCCTTTCTGAAACCGCTCCGACTTAGATGCCCTACTGGCCTAGGGCTCAGGACCTTGTGCCTGTGGATTGGGGTCCTTAGCAGAACTGGGGTTTCTTGAACTCACCCAGCTATGCTCCAGAACCACGGACAGCGCCAACCCTTGGGCTGGGAGGTCCCCAGGTCTGGCATGATGGGTGGAGCGCCCCCTGGAGGCAGATCCCTGACCTGCCTCAGAGGCAGAGGGAGGAGGGCCGGGGAACGGGACCGGCGTGATACTCTTAAGGGACAGAGGTACTGGCTTGAGGACGTCCAAGCTTCTCTTTAATCTCCCTCTGAAAACATCCTGGGAGCTTAGTTAACTTCAGAGACACAATGCATTTCGCACACAACACGGGGTGACTTGCCCCCCAGAGCTGATTCTGCCTTCGCCCCCTCCAGAAAACCTGTGTCCCGCTCCTCCCCTCCCTCCCCTCACTTTCCAGTGTGTTGATATTTGCTTGTGCCTTTTTGTCTAAAGATTTTATTATTTGTCAGAGAGAGAGCACAAGCAGGGGGAGCTGCAGGCAGAGGCAGAGGGAGAAGCAGGCTCCCCGCTCGGTGGGGAACCCAATGCAGGACTCGATCCCAGGACCCTGGGATCATGACCCGAGCCGAAGGCAGACGCTTAACGACGGAGCCACGCAGGTGTACCTGCTCTGCTTTTAATCCCTTCCTTGTACTGCCAAGGAACTCGATGACAGCACGTGGTTTGTGATCCTGCTCTGTGCCTGGTGCTATGGCGAGCTTGGTTTCAGCTCCGTTGAAGGAATGAAGCATCAAAAGTCTGGTTGAGGTGTTGTATTGGGAGCCGGTGGGTCACAGAGGTAATTCTAAGTTTTCCTTCATTGTATATGAAGGTAAATATTCAGATGAGGGGAAGGCCTCAGTCAGGCCTCAAGGTCAGGGGAAACGGTGATGGGTAAGGAGGAAAGGTCCAATAGATACCCTAGGGGAGGCCCCATGGAGCTAACAGAACCGTTGAGACGTGAGGACTCATTCTGAAGATGAGGGACTTGCCAGGCCCCGGGGAAACCTGAGAATGAGCCACATACAGGTCCTGAGTTCAGATCGACACCAGAAACCTGCAAACATCACAGCCAAGTCTGGGGTGGGAGCCAGGGCCCCAGCTCTTAGTTCTAGTGGTGGGCGGGCCCTAGGGACCCCCGCAGATGAGTCCGGGTTCAGCCTTTCTGGAGGCTTCGTGTCTGACCAGGTCTGGGCTAAGAGCCAGAATGGAGAGAAGACTCAGTTTCAGGTAAGTCCTGGCCCTCAGATACTCCTGCTCCAAGAGGGTGGTCCAAGAATTCTGAGAGGATGCCGCACCCCTCCATCCATATTCTGAGGGGGTAGAAATGCACTTGGAATGAGGCAACATGAGTGGGGAGTGGGAGGGGAGGGGCCCCCATGACAGGTTACGCCAGTTCTGCAGCTCAGCCTTCACCTCCCCGGTCATCACTGGGGAGAAGGGTTCCGGAGGGGGCAGGCTGGGAAGAGAGAGCATCATCCGAAGCACAGGTGTGGCAGGGGGAGGGACATGACAGAGTTTGCAGAGAATGTCCAGCTGCCAACATGGGAGCCCAAAGTGGGAGCTCCCAGGTAGTTCTCTGAGCAGCTGTTGCCTCTGTGAGCACATGGCCAGGTGGGTGGTGGTGGGCTTGAGGCTGGTGTTGGTCATCAGGGAAGACGACCTGCATGGGGAGCAAGACAGTGAACTGCCCCACACGTTATGTACAGTTTTATACTTGTTTGCATTGGGAGGGTAAGTCTTGTATTGGTTATTCGATCCTGCCTGGTGCTTTTTAAAGTTACTCCAATTCAACAACGACATTTTCCATTTTAGTGGCTTACTTTCTTGAGCATGGTGACAGCGGTTCAAGTCCATGCCTGAAACTCCTGCATCTGGATCACCTGAGATGTCTATGCTGTTTCTCTCCGTACGCCATCATTTTGTCCTATCCCCTGGCAGATTTTTAAATTGAAGGTCAGGTATTTTGTATGAAAAATTGTAGGGATTTTCTGAGGCTCAGGTGGAAATTTTGCCCCCCTGGATACTAGAAATCTCTAGAATAGCACTGCGCAAAGGAAGGTTCTGTGATGATGGGAAGAGTGTATCTGCATGGTTTGGTATGGCAGCCACCAGCCGTGTGCAGCTATGGAGCACGTCACATGTGTTTAGTGTGACTGAGGAACTGAGTTTTGAATTAAATTAAAATTTTTTTTAAAGATTTGTTTATTTTAGAGAGAGAGACCTTCTCCCAGCGCACATAAGCGGGGAGAGGGTCAGAGGGAGAGAAACTCCCTGCTGAGCCCGGAGCCCTACTCAGGGCTCCATCCCAAGACCCTGAGATCATGACCTGAGCTGAAACCAAGAGTCAGATGCTTAACTGACTGAGGCACCACTATATTTAATTTTTATCAACATAAGTGTAAACAGGCTCAGTGGCCAGGGCTACCCTAACTTTTGCTTTCTGGCAAGCAGACAGAGTAGGGATCTTCACCTGGCCTGGGATTGAGTGTGTTTGAAGCTAGGTTCTGGTGTTTTTGTGGGTGGGTCCACTTCCAGGTGACCCTTACTTCTGTGACCTTACTTGGGTCCTAACAGGTGCTTACTGGGCCTCTATTTTGTACGAGACCCTGAACATCAAACTTTATTTACCCGGTTCCATGAAACTGTCCAGGGGAAAATATGAACCCAGTGTCTGGATGACCTCAGTGCTCTTCCCGTCACCCCAGGTTCTGGCCCCTCGAGTCCCTGCCTACCTAGTCCCGGACTCTAATCCTGTCTCCTGTCCCGTGACACTCTTGAAAGCTCTGCTCAGATCCCCAACTTCTTAGCCTATGCTTTCTGCCTGTTCCTCAGCTTTCTGGCCCCTGCAGCAGAATGAGCCTCTTCCGTGGGATCCTGACTGCCTTGGTAGCTCTTTGATGTCTTCAGATAGCTTGCTTTGTTATAGATCTATTTTTTCTTTTCCAGTTGGTCTCAGTGGCAGTGTTCTGACACGAGATTCTCTGTCATAGCTAGAAACCTCCCTTGCTTTATTTCGGGCTCTGTTCAAGTCACTTTCTCAAAAGGGCCCTGACCTCCCAAACTGAACTAGCACCCCCTTCACACCTTTTCCCCTTAAGCTGCTTTGTTATTCATAGCATGCATCATCAGACGTCACATTACGTCCTGATTTGTCTATTGCCCCTCTCCCACAATACTGCAAGCTCCATGAGTGAGATGGATTTTTTTAAAGTTTATTTATTTTTGGTAATCTCTACACCCAATGTGGGGCTCGAACTCACAACCCCAAAATCAAGAGTGGCATGCTCCACTGACTGAGCCAGCCAGGAGACTTGAGTAAGAGGTTTTTTTTGTTTTTTTGTTTTTTTGTTCAACAATGCTTAGAAATGCCCCTGCACACATTAGGGATTCAGTACATATTGAATAAATGATGTTGGTTATCTGGTGGGGTGGGAGATCCGCCTTCAAACCTCAGTCCAGTTAGGGAGAACAAGAACCAGAGTGTGGATGGCACATGAGGGCAGGAGCTGGGGGCTGGGACTTGGGAAGAATCCTATGTCCCAGGCTGGGCAGGTGAGAAGAGACAGGAAGGCTTCTAGAAATACCCTGGAGGATTTGAGAAGGAAGACGGCAAAGAGAGGGCATTCCTGACAAGGGACCAGGCCAGGCCCCCCCTTGGAGGGGGGACTGAGAAAGCCAAGTCTCTCCCCAGGGGTCCTGCTGGAAGCTTTTCTGGGCCTCACACCCTCTTGGAAGCACAGGGTAGCAAATCTGAAACCCAGAGCCCCCTGGTGGCCATAATGTAATATGACCCACAAAGTTGGCCACCATATATTGAGCACACTATCAAATCCTCACAACAGCGCTTTGATGGGGGGTGGAGGGGTGTAATTCCATTTCAGAGGAGGAAACCGAAGACCAGAAAGGTTAAGTCACTGACCCAGGCTCATCCAGCTCTGCCTCCATAATCTGAGGTCTGGGGAGCCCACCCAGCTGCTCCTCACCCATCACGCAGAGACACTAGGAGAGATTTTGGGGGGGTGGGGTGGGGAGCAAATCCACCGTCTTGAAGAGCTCCAGGTGCAGGTCTGGGTGGGGGCCCCCAGTTCTGTCCATCTCCAGCTAGGTGACCTCAGGCCAATGAGATCGTGTGTGGTTTGGATGAAATGAGACCTTGTGGCGTCTGCAGGATGCACAGCGCTCAAAGATAAGCATCGTGGTTACTGTAAATGACCAGAGCCCACCAAGTCAAGTGGTTTTGCTAATCTCACCTACAGCCAATCATGACACACAGTAGGTGCTCAAGAAGGCTTGGACTATCCTGAGCATGCCCAGAACTGGGCAGAGTACTAAGTAAGCAGCCCCCTAATTTCCACTGGTTGGGAATGGGAAGTTGTTCAGTTCTCTTCTCTTTTAGATCCAAGAGTCCACGTCCCAACCCCTCTTACCTCAGTCCCAGGAGTCCAGGCCTCAGCTTCTGCGGGGTCACCGGTAACCGGTCCCGTCCGTCCCCCTCCCAACCTCACACCGAAGCCCGGGCGGAGGGGGTTTATTCGCAGCGCTCCTTACAGGCCGCCCCGCACTCCCCGTCGGCGGGGCCCGGCGCAGAACCGGGGTCGCTGGGCGGCGGGGGTGGCGGCCCCTCCTCGTCGCGCGCCCCGCCGCCCTTGCCGATGGCCAGGCGGGGCCGGCCGCGCTGCAGGCCGTCCAGGAGGGCGCAGGCCTGGCAGAGCGCGCGGCTGGCCAGCGCCCCGCAGCGGGAGCAGGCGCCGGGGGGCGGCGGCCGCGCGGCCGGGGCCAGGGCCAGGCGCTCGGCCGAGTGCACCAGGTCCAGCGCCGCCGACGGCCGCGCCGCCTCCAGGAGCTTGAGCAGGTGGCGCGCGTGGCCGCGGAAGGCCTCGGGCGCGTAGACGCACTCCTCCGAGAAGTAGTCGAGGCGGCGGAAGTGCGCGTACAGCACCACCTCCTTCTGCGAGGCCAGCTGCAGGGGGCGGCAGCGCGGCAGTGCGCCCCCCTCGCCCCGCGAGCCCAGGCCCCCGCCCCGGGCCAGCCGCCCCGCGTCGCCCCGCAGGAAGTTCATGAGCACGGTCTCTGCCATGTCGTCGGCGTTGTGGCCTGGGGGAGAGAGGGAGAGCAGGTGAGGTGGGGGCGCCACCGTGGGGCAGCCAGGACCCAGCCAGACGGGGAGGGGCCTGCAGAGTGGCACGGAGTGTGCCACCCGGCCAGGGAGACCCCACCCCCAGGACCCAGAGAGAGATGGGGAGGGGATGGAAAGTGGCAGAAGGTGACCAGGCCCTGGAGGCCTCACACCCCAGACCCTGTGGGGCAGCCAGGACCCAGAGAGATGCAGAGGGGTGTGGGGAACAGCAGGGAGGGCCACACAGGGCCATGGAGACCCCTGGGCACCATGGGACAGCCAGGTGGAGGCTGGAGGTGGTCACAGTGAGAAACAAGAGGAGAACACACACAGACTTCCGGGGAGCAACTCGGGGTGCCCTCCTTTGCCACCCACTTATGGCCAACCAGGCCCTGTGCTAGATGCCTTCTCACGAAGGTAGTAAAAGTGCTTTACGCTACAAGTACCATTTCAGTCTCAGAAGTGTGCTTCCTACTGCACAGAAGTCAAAATGGCATTTAACCGTTAATGGAGATTCTCAAGGGAGCTCTTGTCTCAGTGCCTCTGGGAATGCAGATCGCGGAATGCAGAAAGACCAGGGAGGAAGTAAGGGAATATTTACACAACAATCACCATAAAAACATAAGCTAAATCTCTACTTATTCTGCATCTTGTCATCTTATACTTGAGTCTGTATGGTCCAGACAGTAAAACACTGGTCTTCTTAGGGCTTCTCCAATTGGCCATACTAACCCTCCTCAGGGCCTTTGTATAAGCTGTTTCCTCTACTCAGAACCCGACCCTCTGTCCGACCTTCACTGGTTACTTGGGTGGCCTTCAGGTCTTCGCTCACTCTGGAAATGCTTCCTAACCCCTACTCTTCTCCCTTCACTGGGTGCTCCGGCTATAACCTGGCAAAGTGTGATTTTCTTTAGTAGCACTTCTCAGGTTATAATTATGCATGTGAGAGAAGAGCAAGAACAGAGACTGTCTTGTGTGTCATCACCATGGCAAACATTTCTGTAATGCCTCCTGTTTCCAGTCTCTGGTCTAAGTGCCTACACATAACTCATCTAATTCCCAACAACCCTGGGACCTCGATATTATTAATAAGCCCATTTTACAGAAGAGGTAACTGCGGTTAGGTAATGCTCTGGACTACGTAGCTTGTACCTGGTACGCAGTAAATGGTCAAGGATTATGTGTGGAAGTAATGACCGGGAGAGAATAAGGGTTAGCAGAGAGGAGAGGCCGACAGAGAAAAGCAGTTCAAAGATAGTTGCGTTTCAGACTACAGTTGGCTTCTGATGGGTGGTACCACTTCACTCGCCTCCTTTTGTGAGGGGAGACACAAAGAATGCCATTTTTTTAAATGCAGGGAACCACAGCCCCCAGAGAGTACCCCTCCACCCTTCTAGCTGCCAATGTGATGGCGGTGACTCAAAAGCATGCAGCGCCCATCCCAGGCACGCACGCGTACTGTGCCCGTACTTCACTTCACACACCTTCAGCGGGCATGCATATCCCCTTCTCCTCGTGGACAGCCTCCACCCAGGGCACACCCAGCGTCTCCTTCACCACTTCTTGGACCCGGGCCCAGGCCCTTTAGGTGCCGGCCCCTCGCCCCTCGGCTGCAGTGCCTGCGCTCACCCGTCACGATGTGCGTGGCTCCCACGAGGCGCGCCCCTTCCTCCAGCGCGCGGCGCCGCAGCACCCCGCAGAAGGTGCAGCAGGCGCGGCTGCGGCCGGAGCCGGCCGTGCTGCGGGCCACGGCGTCCATGGTCCAGCCCCCGAAGAGGTCTGCGTAGGCCACGACGGTGAGCGGGAGGTCCCAGCGCGCCGCCTGGCGTCGCACGGCCGCCAGCGCCGCGTCGCGGTAGCCGCTGATGCCCTCGTCCACGGCCACCAGGCGCAGCGAGACGCCCAGGCGCGGCGCTAGTTCGCGCAGCACGTGCGCCAGCACCGTGGAGTCCTTGCCGCCGGAGGCCCCCACGGCCACCACCGCGCCGGGCGGCAGCAGGCGGCCCGCCAGCACCGTGTGCAGCACCTCGGCCTCGAAGGCGGTGCAGAAGCAGGCCCCGCACAGCGCTTGACCGGAGCGCGGGCGGCGGAGGGCAGCGCGCGCCGCGTGGCAGGAGGCGCACTGCGGGGCGGGCATCGCGGGTTCCGGGCGGGCCGGGAGCAGTTGGCTTCTCCTGGACAGGGAGAGAGGGGAGGCAGGTTACATACGGATTCTGGTTTGCGGGGGTCGTAGCCTCCGGGGAGGTGGCCTGGATAGCACTGAGTACACCCATTGCCTGGAATACTCTCCCAGCACTTGTGCAAGCTTGGTACCTTCAAGTCTCAGCTTAAACGTTCATTATTCATTTGTCCATTCCACAGGTATCCATTCATTGCCTCCCATCTACCCAACATGCGTTAGGCACTGGGACAGCAGTGATCAAAATAGGAACGGTTGCAGGGAGGCGCGAACCCATGGATAAGTAAATAACCAAGATACTTTACAAACATAAGGAGTAATATGAAGGAATTATCCTCTGGGCTGAGGCCACAACGACAAGAAGGATCGGGCATTAGATCAGGGTGGGAAGAATGTTCCAAGACAGAGTTAAGAGCAAATGCAAAGACCCGAAGGGCAGGGCCTATGTTCAGTTGTTTGGAAAGTGAGTTATGGCTGAGGGGGGGAGAGGATCCAGGGCTTGGAGGTTGGCAGGGCGAGGAGCTTGGATTTTATTCTGAATGAGATGGGAACCATTGGATGGTTGTAAGCTATGGAGTGACAGGACCTGATTTAAATTTTAACAAGATCCCTCCGGCTGCTGCGTGTGAATAGAGGTTGGAGAGTGGCGAGAGCTGACCAGTAAGGAGGCTCCTGCAATGATCAGATGAACAATAATGTGGCTTAGGGCTGAGCAGAGGCAGTGGAGGTGGAGAGAAGTGGTCAGATTCTGGATCTCTTCTGGAAATAGAGCAGGTGGGTCTCACACGAGACTTGGTTGAGCGAGGCAGTAGGTGAGAGAAGCAGAGAGGACGGACAACTTCAAGCTTCAACTTCTGGCTTCTGCAGTTGAAGGACAGTGGGACCATTCATTTCGTGGGGAGGAGGTGGGGAAGAAGGGAGAACAGGCAAATACTGTGAGAGGCGTAGGTTTAGGCCAGAGAATCTCTAATTTTGTTTGGGCATGGTAAATTTTGAGGTCCTTTCCTCTGGAAGTCTTTCCTGAACCCCGGGCTGGGTGTGGCGCCTCCTCTGGGCTCCCACGGCCGCCTGACGCCCCCCACGCCAGCCCTGATCACTCCAGGTTGTACCCAGGATAGAGGAGGGTGCGTTGGAACCGCCCTCAGGTTGGGGGGTGGAAACTAGAAGGAGTCAGAACAGAGGCAGAGTCCTAAAGCGGATCAGCCGGGACACCAGCTGCTTAGGGCCCTCCAGTCCCGAGGGTCGCCAGAGGCCGTTGGGGGATCACGGAGAGGAGTGCCGTATCTCCAGGGATGCCTACCGGAATGCGTGGGAGAGTGATATGGAGATCCTCAACTGCTACACGGGAGTACGACAAAGGGCCAGGATCGGCGCGCCGAGGCAGGAAGAACTCACCTGAGTAGAACCCGCGCAGGAAAGTCCAGGCTCCGAGAAAACGCGGAAGCGAGTGAAGGGACTACGACTCCCAGAAGGCTTTGGGTTTACCCGCCGACGACTCCCGGCTGCCGGTGGTGCGGTTTGGCCCGAAGCGCCTAGTGCTCGGGGACCAGCAGGGCCCACACCCAGAGAGCCTCGCAGCTGCGTCAGGCGCTCCGCCCACGGCTCCCAGAGTGCTCCAGGACAGACCGCCGCGTCTGTCGTTTGCGCTTGCGCAAAAGCAGGGGCGTCTGGTTTGTAAGGGCTACCTCGCTCTATGCACTTTATTCTAAAAACGGGACGGATGCTTTTTAGGTTTTCTGCCCTTAGGGGAGTATGATAGGATTCGAGATGCGAGTGGAGAGTCGTCGGGGTGGGGGGAGAAAGGAATAGGGGTGCGCAAGGGAGAGGCAGCACGTGCACTGCGCAGATTGCAGGGATTGGGCCGCGTTGCCCGGGGCACGGGGTGGGCTTTTGCGCGCACCCCACGGGAGTGGGAGTGGGTGCGCGCCCGCGCGGGGAGCCCCGATTGTGCGGGCTGGGGGGTTGTGCGTGCGCGGAGCTGACAGGAGCGCTTTGCACTTCTCCACGCGCGCGCCAGGCTCGGGGAGTGACCCGGGTGAACAGTTGCGCACCGGTGTGGCTCAGTGACAAGTGTGCACACCTCCAGCCTTGTGGGGTTGAAGACAGAGCTCGGGATGGAGGGCAGGTAAGACCCATGAGATGGAAGGTTCCCAGGGTTGGGGTGCATTCTCCCAGGAGGCAGCCAGAGCCCTGCTCCCCTCATTCGCTTTCCAGCCCCCAAATTGCCTTCTCTCCTGCGTGTTATATTCCGAGGTTCTCTTGTCTCTACCCCTGTGAGGCCCTTGATAGGATTGAGAGTGAAGGGTGATGGGGGACGTTTG